TACACATTTACACATTATTTTACACATTTACACATTATTTTACACATTATTTTACACATTTACACATTATTTAACACATTTACACATTATTTTACACATTTACACATTTACGTAATTTTTTATCTTCACAGCCAGTCCTCCTAAAGTTCAGCCTCGCTACGATCTGGATCTCGATGCCAGCTACGCAAAGGTACTGATCAGGTTCCTGATTAACCCTTTACCACCCATTCCCTGCCGAGACAAGCAGTTCTTGAACTGACTACAAACAGCCTCTAAAACCTGTAGGAGAGCACTTTTATAGGTTTTATATCTGAACGCACTCGCTGACTGTTGTTGTTTTTGTTGTTGTTCAGACTTTTGCAGGTGACGTCGGACATTTATGGAAGACTTCCGAGTCTCTGCTGGTTTATCAGGAACTGGTTCGGAAAGGAATTCGAGGTCTAATGTGAGTCTGGACTCAGTTTGTCTGCTTGGATTCCCGTTTTGTTTATATTTGTCCTCTGTCACAGAGACCGGCCCACCCAGCCGTTAGCTTATTATTAGCTTACTTATTTAGCTTCCTGTTTGCTGCCATCCTCATTCATATACATGAGGCAGATCAGAATATGGCAGTAATATGTATAACAGATGAATATATGGGTGCAGTTGCTGTATTTAGCCTGTGGGGGGCAGTATTGCAGATTATTGAGAGTTGATGATGAAACGTGATTGCTGTATTGATCCAGAGAGCTGATGAAGGAGGACTACAGTGAGATCCTCCACAAGAAGTCAGAGGTTTTCCACCTGTGTAACTACTGCACGCAGATACTGGAGAAGACTGAGCAGCTGTGAGTGCTGCCCACACAAATATTATCATGTCAATAACATATCAGAATATATATTTAATATTGACTAGAGTTTATTGATAACACAGGACCTCCGTTCTCCTCAGGTTTGAGGTATTGATGCAGGCCAACATGATGTCATCAGAGTACGACGAGATCTCAGACATGCACAAGAAAGTTGTCAGAGTGAGTGCTCGCCGGTTACTGTTTCACATTAACGTGGTTCATTCATGTGTGGTCACTATGGTTACCAAGCTGTTTAACGTGGTTGCTAAGGTATTGGTAGGCAGGGGTTGTAGCGTTGTTGTTATTATGTTTTACTACACTGTGGTTGCAGATCTCCAGCTCGTTGGAGCCCATCGAACGAACAACACAAGACATCAAGAGTAAATTCCTCCCTGGAGGTCTGCTGACCGACGGCTGGACACAACAAGTGGGGACGCACCCCGAGGACAGGAAGTAAGGCTGTCTGTGTGTATGTGTGTGTATATATATATATATATATATATATACAGTGTATTACAGGTGATACAGT